TTCCATAAAACAGTCGCCGAATTGCCCAACATTTTATCTCAAAGTGATGGGGAAATAGTGCGCTTGCCCCTGGCAAACTGCTTGCCCTCCAGCTGGCAACCTCATTAACTAACTGTCCGTCGAATTATTCAGGAATCTGTCAAGCCAATAGCCAATTCCTATATCAACCAATCTCAATGTATTCACTGTAGATGTAGTTGAGCAGTTCTCCCCCAAAATTGATCTCTCTCCGCCCGCTCTAAAACCATCAAATTGCCTACAAAACCGTCCACCAAGGACCCCAGGAAACCATTGGCGAACATCAATCCAAACTGTAAAGCAAGCTACATCCTCTAAGGAACTTTCCGCAGAATCATGTACCAAACATTGGCCAAACTGACCGTAAAATATTAGCCAATCAGTTCAAAAATCCTTTCATTATCCTCATTGTCTGCCGACTGTATCACAAGTGGTAGTAAAAATCACGTGCGTATCATTAAGCCAACCACTGTCTAACATTCGCATACCAATGGGAAAATCAATAACAGGGCCTAGCGTAGATTTTTGTCTCTATCTTTGTGTAGAATTCTAGGCACCCTTTCCTATTCCTAACATATAATTTTGTTATTCTCTTGAAGCAAGAGTTGACCATTGACACGTTTTAATTTTATTTTAGTAATTAGATCACTAATGAGGTAGATACCTTCTAATAATAAAATATGGTAAATTAAAGGTGTTGTCTGGTTCTGTAGAACAGACAGTAGCAGGCCCGGAAGGTGCAAGCTCTGACGACAATCGCTACGTGATCGAAACGATCGTTAGCAAAATAAATTTTTAATGCCAGACAACACCTTTAATTTACCATATCTTATTATAGTATTGGTCATAGCGAGCAAGTTTCACAATCGAATCAATTGAATGGGCAGCTAGTTCTTAAAAAATATGGACGTGGATATATTGTGTCCCCGCGGTAAGGAAAAGCACGAAACATGAAAAAATGCATGTTTGCCTAACCGTTGTCTGCACAATCTAACATCACTACCAACCTCCAAAGCTACTTCCCTGTCAAACCATTGATAAACAATCCTAAAATTTACGGATAACCTCACAAATCAAACAAGCCAAACCTTCTGTAAATAGCCTTCGTAAGCGCCGGGAAAATACAATTTCTTTCTGTCAATGAAATCGCGCAAGTACCATTCCGAAAATTCTATCCAAAATAGTCGCTATACACCGACGATTCTATTTTTTAACTCTCGTTTTCTGTGAAAACTAGCTCAAAATTCTGCATTTTTGCAAACGCTCAAACGACTTTTTTTTATAAAAGACTCCAAAATGTTTCTTTAAGCTTTTTGAATGAACAGTACCAATTGCACTCCTTTTTATGACGTAAAGTTCATTTCGGGGTATTTTTTTGTTTTTTCCAAAAATTATACAAACATAATTAATTAATAAATAAATACTTAAACACTATTGTGTATATAAGTTAAAATGTTTCAAGGGACGTCTAATAAAGTTTTTCGAAAACTCAGCAACTTTCTGTGAAAAAGAGCTTCAAATTCAAAAGTTTCAGTACGGCTTAGGTGCAATTTCTTAAAAACGACACCAAATTTTTCACAGAAAATTGTATATTGATGACGTTTTACTGTTCTTTAATATTATTTTAATAACATTTCCCTTCTACTACTAGTACAATGAAAAATTAAAATTTCAAAAACATGAATTTGGGTGACGAAATGGCAGCTAGCAAGAGTATGTGGCAAGTTCGTATAGCTAGCGGAACCCAAAGGAAACAGAAAAATAATGCAGGAAAGTGTGTGCAATTTTGTAGCTCCGCTAGTTATTATTATTTTATTTTACTTTCCTCGCAGTCGCTCAGTCAGAAGCACGTCTTATCGGTTTTGTGGAGCTGTTCGATGATAATTTCCCTGTCCCAGCAATTTCGGCGTCGTTTTTTTTTGTTTTGGTTATGTGTGGTAATTTGGAATTTTCAAGGTGACAAAACCACACGCCATTGCATTGGTGAATTCTGCCAGGTGCATCAATGTGACGGCTTAGATATTGCTTGGGATATAGAACAGCATCCACGTAATATGTGGCCTATAGTACTTTTTCCATAAACACAGTAGTTATCATTTTCAATTTCTTGGTATTTTCTGTAATTTTTAGTCTCGATTACCTTACCTTATAGATATGCAATTATTGTATATTATATTATGTTTTCAATATGTAACGAAAAGTTAGGTACAGATCTAGAATGGAATTGATGTAAAATATTCATATTAATTTCGGTTTAGTAATGTTATTGGAAAATAAAATTGCTGATATGCAAGTAAAATGAGATTCAAATTGGTATAACTTTTTCCAATAAATTTTATAATTGTATTTTTAAGAGTTAAAAATTATAGCACGTGGAACAGAACTAAGTTCTGCAACCCTTCCAATAGAATTTTTGATTCCAATAGAATGACGTTAGTCCGTCACAAAACCTATCAAGGCTATGATGCGGAAGCCACGCTCTCGCCCTAGGGCAAGGAGAAACAACCATTTGAAAGCACGGGCTTCCCTGTCACCCTTGTATGGCCACGCAGGCCAACCTCAAAGGGTGTTGATGATGAACTGAGTGTGGGACGGGGCGGGTCGGGGGTCGGAAAGAGGCGGGGGTTGTGTGGGGCTAGAAGTGGGGTGACGGGTGGAGGGGGTTTCGAAGGTGACCGGGGGGGGAGGTCAGACGTAGGATCCGCTGGCGGGGCGGGGCGGGCAGGGGAAGGGGCAGGGGCAAGGGTGAAGCTCTTGCGGGACAGGAGGGGGCGAGAGCGGGTCTGGAGAGAGGCGCGGGGGCCGGCGTCGGGGGCGTGGCGAGAGGCAGCCAGAGGCGAGGCCGGGGCCGTGCCGGTGGCGGTGGCAGTTGACGGGGGGGGGACGGTTGGCGTGGCGGGGCCGAGGTCGGGATAGGAAGGGGCGTGTGCGGTAGAGAGACTGCAAACATATTACGACTTTCAGCACGCCGGTCACGGGGCTGCCTAATCTGCGCCGCCCTTGAAGGGCCGCAAAGGGCGGACGCCAAAGAGCGTCGCGGGCGACGGGGGGCGATGTGGCGTGGAGCGTGTCTGGCGGGCGGTGAGGCGCGCTCCGCCCTCGGGCAGAGCGGTAATTAATAGCGGCGCGGAAGCGGGTCAGCGGGTCGGTGGCAATTTCCTGATTGCTGCGCTCGTTTTAATGATTTTGCTAGCGCGCGTCTCCGCACACGGCGCTGCGGCGGAGGGCCAACGGTCAGCGCGGCCTCCCCTCCGCCCACCCACGCGGCCTCCGCGTACTTTGCTGCCTCGTTGCGCTTCTGCCCGGCCCCGCCCCCTCTCGCCCGACTCCTCGATCATCTTCCCTTTGCGTCGTCGACCTAGCTACACTCTCTACCTACACAATCCACGACCTCTCCACTTCAGTCACTTCTCGCCATTCAATCTCATCGCTCACGCTTTTAGAACCTTTGGTTTAGAAACAGTTGGTGCTAATGTAGAGTTCTGGGTGTACTAATTGTTTACTATCTATATTTAGTCGTTTCTTCGAACTAACCTTTTCCAGAAGGTAAATAAGGAGACCCATGGATGTTCGTCGTTGCTGCAAATTCTTGTTGAAACGGAAGTCCACTTTGGGGTGCGGCCCTTTGCCATGTTGTTTGAAAGCTCGAGAGGCCTATCTACGATTACCTCGGCGGAGATGAAACCATTGGTCTTTGCATGAAGCCGTTGACGTATAATTTTACAATCTCCCAGCGAAATACGGATTAATTTCAAGGAGACGTAGCATTTCTTTGAGTTGTTCAGTACTTCATATCTTCCAAAGTCGAATTTAAAGGTCTAAAGGTTTATACTTAAAAATTAAGCTGAGAATTTTGCCTCCGGTGACGAAAGCGGAGGTCTAACAATAAGACAAGCGCCCCTGAGCAAATTGCGGAGGAGGAGAAAAGAAATCGGTCCATGCTGGTTCAGTGCGTCACCTTAACAACCTAGAACGAACTGAGCATGTGTCCCATTTGTCTACTAAGCTTGCCACAACCAGAAACTTTCCAGAATAACTCAAGATTTCTCTTTTCACAAATAACGCAACAAAATGAACTTATCGTCATTTATATTTTTAGATAACATGTTTTTCATTTTAAAAAATTCAAATTTTGTAAACGGGGGAAAACGTGTTGGTTGCGGGAGAAAAATGCGTCTAATAGGCTTTTGTTGTGTTGTAATGTCTCATCATTTTTGATATTTTTATGAGTCAAAGGAAAAGCAAAAATCCTCTTTAAAGTCTCTCTTCAACAATGAACTACGAGAACGTACTATCTCGCCCTTATGCAATAAGGTAAAGTTAGCTTTTAAGAACATTTTGTACTCATATTTATTTGAAAGCATTGACACAAAATCCCGGAAGTACGTTACTGCCGGGTAGGGAATTCTACCCACTTGTCCGGCGTTAAACAAAATAAAATCCAGCGAATGCAACTTGACATAACATGGAATAGGCGACATGCAGCTGTTCATTCACATTAGACTGCAACGCAGTAGTTGACCATTGTCCATCTAACTAGAAAACGATGACAATTAAAATCTGGTTTTCACGAGGTGACGTAACATTGGGTATGTTTCACAAGTCACAATCTGTCTTTTTTTAAAAACTTTCTATTACATTTTTGGAGGGTACCCCTGTTTTGTAGCACGAATTGTCAGAAACGTTGTTGGATTCTATATTCACCTGTTAAAATGTGTGCAAAGTGGGGAATTACCGGTCCGGATGGCCGAGATCGCTAAGGCAGCAGTGTCGTAGCGATCTCGGACCGAAGGATCGCGGGTACGAGTCCCTCCTCGGGCATGGTTGTATTGTGTTCGTCCTTTCCCACCCCTATCATCATCATATCGTGTCATCCTCATAGTTACCATACCGCTACAAGCAATAGCGGCAATAATAACGTAGTAGTGCTGAGTGTAACCGGGTGTGGTTTGCGCCCGCAGAGCGTGCTGCAGCAGGCGACGAGCTTCGCGCAGGATGGCGACCTGCTGGCCACGCTGCAGGAGCACCACGGCATGGCCGGGCAAGCGCAGCCGCCGCCCTGCACGGCTGCCAGCAAGAAGCAGGGCGTGTCGGGCGAGAGCTCGGACGCCGGCCAGAGCGCCGACGACATCCAGATCCAGCGCTTCGACAAGGACTTCCGGTGAGCCACCCACCCACCCACCACCTCTTTCTCTCTTTCTCTCTCTCTCTCTTTAATAGTTATAAAAATATTTGTTTTTTTATTGTACATTATTTATACACTGTAGATATCATACTACACAATATTATTGTTTAAAAAATTACATAATTCGGACATAAATATTTATACCAATTTTGCCAAATAATGGAACAAAAGCTCTAGGCCTTTTGGGGGGGGCCATGCCCGTCCCCCTGGATCTGCCAGTGATTTGAGACACCCGAGGGTTCGCAAAACCCGAGCAGGTGTGTGTTTCTTTATTAAGGTTAGGTATCCGTGCTATCTAAGACTACACGAAACATAATGTTCTAAGTCTCCGAGATTCTATTGTGAAGTTTGAGGAACTGAAGAAAGGCAGAGACTTCAGGCTTTTTGCATATATTTTTATTTATGGTTTAAGGATACTCTGTCAAAAATGTTTTTCGGAAATTCCGCCCCATAAGAACTAAAACATTAAAAGCCGACGGGGTCACTATGAACTGAGGTGCTGTGCTGTGGGACACTTGGGTAGTTTTCGCGGCGCACTATTCGGTTTCGAAGTTTGGGAGACTGAAGAGGCGAATTCCTCCCGCGCGTTTATGCAGACAGTTGGCGCCGCAACCGCGCTCTTCTGGAAATCTGCGGAGGTAAATACATTAAACATCTGTGATCGCGAGGCCCGCTTGCGATGTTCAACGTTAAGAAAAAAGCTACAGGAGCTCGATTGTAATGGGACTGTCGAGCTCAATTAGAATTAGTAAAATAAATCAAACATTTATTACAAAGAACAAATGCCTTAATATATTATTATTTTGTAAAGCAAACGAAAAATGAATATAATGAACTGATATGGGTAGATAATCCGGGAGAGATAACATAAAGAGAGATACAGAAAAATTAAATATGTCCGTATAGGAGGGTTGGGCTCACAAACGTGCTATTTCTAAGCATAGAGATTTTAATCTCCAGACATTGTTGGATTTCAAATGCAATGCGCCTAAGCGACCATAGAAACAAATATCAACAGGACTAAATCAAATTCCTTCATGGGACAACTTTTATTTATTTATTTACGTCAAAAACAGTTAAAACTGTGTGTGACGTGTTAAGGGCAGAAGTTAATTTGAAGTTATATTTATGTTCAGAAGCAAAACTAGGGGCCATCTCAGAATTTGCTCGAGGATCAGGGTAACTGGACGAAAACGTGACTGAGATGGGGGTCATTGACACAGAGGCTGACATACAGTACTTGTTACAGGTTCTTTACAATTATACAATCCAAATGGTATATAATACATTAAATGTCAGTGTTAAAATTAATATCGCTTCCCTTTTGTACTATAGTCTCTAATTGTGTAGAAACAGTTGTGCAGCAGAAAAGATTTTACTTGGGATTTAAACTTTTGTATCGAATTTAACCATCTTATTTGCTGACCCCTACAGTGTTTACTTCGTGGCCTCCTAGAGGACCGCGATTAGAACAGATTACTGTTGGTAAAGGAGATTTTGAAACAAAAAAAACTGAATATTACAGAAATAGAACTGTGTTCAACTACCCAATGCAATGCAATTAATTCCCTTACAATTTATTTGGGGGTTTGAATTTGTTTCGTCATATTTTACAGGCTACTCCTAGTATTTTAAATATGATTTATTCGTAATTACCTTTACCGTAAGAAAACTGACGTAGCATTGTTTCTTTACTTGTGCATGGCGTTTGATCCATTGGCCCATCTACAATAGACACTGAAATTGGCAATTTTTTAGTTGGCTCTTACAATATATGGCGTTGTCACAAGATTTTGTCTCTTATATTTGCCGCTAGGGAGTGCCAGAATATCGAATCCAGTAGTGTTCAGTACTTGAAGGGTCCTGCGACGAGTGAATATTGTATCTAATTGGGACGGATTTTAATAGAGAATTTAATTCTATCGGGCACTTAGCTGGTGCTCTTTTACAAGTCGCAATACGACGTGGCCAATGTGGACCTTCCGTCCTTCGAAAACCCTCGAATCTTAACACGCTTTGGACGTAGAGAGAGGCCAGTAAGTTAACCAGCCTCATTGGTACCATATAATGTTACATCTTACATTTCATCGTACATGTTATCTCACATTTTTGTTTTTAAGAGACATTTACTTTTTTACGACTTAAAAATTTGTTGATGAAGGAACGATAATTGCGTCAGACGGAAATATTGAAGTAGCAATCACATATTTTTGTAGATTTTACTTTCCTATGTTTTTATCAGTAGTGCAGACGTTTAGTCTTCACTGTGTTTGTGATTCCTTTCATAACCGTGACAGCCCCTGAATTAGACCCTGAAGAACCATCGGAGCATTGGCACTCTGAATCACACACATCTGCACAAAAATTACAAGCCATACTTTCAGGACTTATTTTAAAGTGGGAAAACTGAGAATTAAAGTAACAAGATCCCTCATAAAGTATGACATTTTAGTTGCCTTGATATTTCTAAACAATATATTTCTAAACTATATATTTCTAAACAATAATCCGTATCAAAATCTGTTTCGTTTGAATGCAGTTTTTTAATTCTGATATCACTGCGACCGAAATGCAGTATTGTAAAGTTTCACTACCATTAAACACTATGCTTCCCAGAACAAAATAATTATAAAACGTATATGCTGAAAAAAGGGAGATAAAGAAATGTGATTTTACAACTAGAATTTGAATAGCAAAATTAATCTCGGTTAACAGGAGCACGAAAATCTCCCGCTAACTCCCTTGACAAGTGCAAATTTTGTACAGAATACTTGGAATTTTAATTCTGCTTCAAGAATTGAGGCAGATTGACATCTCTCTAGATGTGTTCTTCACAAGTCATACCTCAGAAATAATTAACAGATAAAAATATTATAACATCTGGCCTCTGTTTTATTTACACGTCACAAGCTCCCTCGATTAAAATGAGTAATTTTGTATGTTCTTCTCCAATAGCATTTTTTTCCTTTGACAAATTTATATTTAACGTATATATTGAGCAAACGCTTACGCCTGAAAAGAAATAGCGATCTATATTACCTTATTATATGTTTATTGTTAACAAACAGTGATATATTGAAATAAATATATCTTAAAGCACATGAGCCTCACTTGCTCATTTATTTTAAATAACAACTCCACTCACACATGTACGTGTTTCCAGAAGAGGAAGAATAATTTCCTAAACCACATACATTTAATATTACGGGTATTCGGACCTAAACTTCAAAAGAATTTTAATTTGACCCCAACTAACACCTACATGATCCATGCGTAAGATATGTCTTATCTTATGGCCTAGCCCTGTAGTGATGTAATATATTGCAACCACAAGGAAATACCAATATGTCGCGTTCCAACTTCCCGTGTCAGGCAATGCAGATCTCTTTACCACTTCCGGTCAAAGAGCCTTCGAGTTATATTGCTGATATGAATAAGAAATTTTACGGAAATTCCAGAGAAAATTAATCAATCAGGTTTCATTCATGGAATGAGAACTTTTAGCCATAGAATTTTGAATTTCGAAAATTTTCATAACGCGAAGAAAACTGTCCCCAAAAGATTTCTCAATTTTTAACATAAATCGATTCAAAAGAACTTATTTACTTACAATATTAACTTACTTAAAATATCAAATGTGTCAAAAGTCATATTAATAATTGAAACAAAAAAGTTGTGTTTGTGGAAATATTTTCCTCACCTACATACCTACTCAAAGTCGAGAAAAGTTGAGAAAATAATTCTTTAGATTAGTAAGTTATTATTTTGAGCTATAATTATTTTGTTTCATGACCATTTGATTCAAGGTTAGAAGAAAAAATTTACCAAAGAGTATACTGAATATGCAAAAAACTAATAAATAACAATATTCATGACTTAATGAAATGTCATTTGTGAAAAAGTTCATTAGTTTATATTAATAATGTCAAGTCAAAGTACAACTTAAATTCCACACTAAGACTTTTAAATTACGCCTTGGTCTGTAGGGATGTCAGTTCGCTATTGAAAAGAAATCCTGTACAAAAGCACAAAGAGTTAAAAAATAATTATGGTATAAAAAGTAAAAATATTATAAAGTGTAAACTGTCTGGAGGCCAGAGGAGCACACTTATCTTGTGTAAAAATCCGATTTAAATTGAAACATTTAAAATTGTAGAGGATGGCATGAAATTAAAAGTCCCAAAGTACGGTACGGCAATTTAATGGGTATTGGTGACATTGCGGGTTTTGCAGTAAATAACGCATGTGCTCACATCGATCTGCCATCTAGTATGCAACAAAAATGTATGTTTTTTGTTTTCGAAAAATGCCATGCTACTTCAAAATGAAATTCGCCCAAATGTTTCGCGAGTAATTATTAGTTGGTGAGATTGCCTGAGGTTTTACTCGCCTATCTTCAGTTCAAGAATACACGAGGATGAGAAGTAGCAGAAAACGAGTGTAATAATAAAATCGAAATCGAAATGATAAGCAGATCCAAATACTTATCCCATACATTATTTCAACAAGCCTATTTTGCCCATCATAAATTTTCGAGTTGTACGAAACGTGATTATAACCATTCAAAATATACTGAACTGAATATAATATAATAAATATATAGTAGTTAAAGGAGGAAAAATGTCATTTATACAAGATGATTCAAAATTGCCTTTGGCCATCTAAGTGCCAGACTTCAGCATACAGTCAGTTCTTGAAAAATTGTAAGCATATTCCTCACAGCGAAGATTAATTTCACATTCCATGATAATATAACTTTCGCACCGCACTCCCAGAGGCTGAAAGATCATCGTCTCAATAGAGAAGAAGCCTGTCTCATGCCAAAGTGATGACCCTGGGGACTCGACGAATGCGACGCACGCAGTGCTGGTGCTGCGCGGCACCGACCGTTTCGTCTTTGAGATCACATTCCCATGCGCTTAGCATATAAAGTGATAGTACCTGATGCATACACATGTTATCGTGCTACGACGGAA